AAAAAGTCATAAAAAAGTCATAGTATAGTAAGGCATAAAAAAGTCATAGTATAGTCAGGCATAAAAAGTCATAGTATGGTAAGGTATAAAAAGTTATAAAAAAGTCATAGTATGATAAGGCATAAAAAAGTCATACTATAGTAAGGCATAAAAAGTCATAGTATAGTAAGGCATGAAAAGTCATAAAAAAGTCATAGTATAGTAAGGCATAAAAAAGTCATACTATAGTTAAGCATAAAAAGTCATAGTATAGTAAAGCATAAAAAGTCAAAAAAGTCATAGTATAGTTTAGCATAACAAGTCATAGAATAATAAGGCATAAAAAGTCATAACAAATTAATTGTTTAGTAAGGTATAAAAAGTCATAAAAAAGTCATAGTATAGTAAGGCATAAAAAGTCATAGTATAGTAAGGCATAAAAAGTCATGAAAAAGTCATAGTATAGTAAGGCATAAAAAGTCATAGTATAGTAAGGCATAAAAAGTCATAAAAAAGTCATAAAAAAGTCATAGTATAGTAAGGCATAAAAAAGTCATAGTATAGTCAGGCATAAAAAGTCATAGTATGGTAAGGTATAAAAAGTTATAAAAAAGTCATAGTATAGTAAGGCATAAAAAAGTCATACTATAGTTACGCATAAAAAGTCATAGTATAGTTAAGCATAAAAAGTCATAGTATAGTTTAGCATAAAAAGTCATAGAATAGTAAGGCATAAAAAGTCATAAAAAATTAATTGTTTAGTAAGGTATAAAAAGTCATAAAAAGACATAGTATAGTAAGGCATAAAAAGTCATAGAATAGTAAGGCATACAAAGTCAGGAAAATTAATTGTTTAATAAGGCATAAAAAGTCATAAAAAAGTCATAGTATAGTAAGGCAAAAAAAGTCATAAAAAGTCATAGTATAGTAAGGCAAAAAAAGTCATAAAAAGTCATAGTATAGTAAGGCAAAAAAAGTCATAAAAAGTCATAGTATAGTAAGGCAAAAAAAGTCATAAAAAGTCATAGTATAGTAAGGCAAAAAAAGTCATAAAAAGTCATAGTATAGTAAGGCAAAAAAAGTCATAAAAAGTCATAGTATAGTAAGGCAAAAAAAGTCATAAAAAGTCATAGTATAGTAAGGCAAAAAAAGTCATAAAAAGTCATAGTATAGTAAGGCAAAAAAAGTCATAAAAAGTCATAGTATAGTAAGGCAAAAAAAGTCATAAAAAGTCATAGTATAGTAAGGCAAAAAAAGTCATAAAAAGTCATAGTATAGTAAGGCAAAAAAAGTCATAAAAAGTCATAGTATAGTAAGGCAAAAAAAGTCATAAAAAGTCATAGTATAGTAAGGCAAAAAAAGTCATAAAAAGTCATAGTATAGTAAGGCAAAAAAAGTCATAAAAAGTCATAGTATAGTAAGGCAAAAAAAGTCATAAAAAGTCATAGTATAGTAAGGCATAAAAAGTCATAGTATGGTAAGGCAAAAAAAGTCAGTATAATAAGGCATAAAAAAGTCAAAGTGTAGTAAGGCATAAAAGTCATAAAAAAAGTCATATTATAGTAAGGCATAAAAAGTCATAGTATAGTAAGGCATAAAAAGTCATGAAAAAGTCATAGTATAGTAAGGCATAAAAAGTCATAAAAAAGTCATAGTATAGTAAGGCATAAAAAAGTCATAGTATAGTCAGGCATAAAAAGTCATAGTATGGTAAGGTATAAAAAGTCATAAAAAAGTCATAGTATGATAAGGCATAAAAAAGTCATAGAATAGTAAGGCATAAAAAGTCATAAAAAAGTTATAATATAGTAAGGCATAAAAAGTCAGAATAGTAAGGCATAAAAAGTCATAAAAAATTAATTGTGTAATAAGGTATAAAAAGTCATAAAAAATTCATAGTATAGTAAGGCATAAAAAGTCATAGTATAGTAAGGCATAAAAAGTCATAAAAAAGTCATAGTATAGTAAGGCATAAAAAGTCATAGTATGGTAAGGCATAAAAAGTCATAAAAAAGTCATACTATAGTAAGGCATAAAAAGTCATAAAAAAGTCATAGTATAGTAAGGCATAAAAAGTCATAAAAAATTTTTATAGTATAGTATGGAATAAAAAAGTCATAAAATAGTTAGGCATAAAAAGTCATAGTATGGTAAAGCATAAAAAGTCATGAAAAAGTCATATAGTAAGGCATAAAAGGTCATAAAAAGTCAGTATAATAAGGCATAAAAAAGTTATAGTATGGTCAGGCATAAAAAGTCATAGTATGGTAAGGCATAAAAAGTCATAAAAAAGTCATAGTATAGTAAGGCATAAAAAAGTCATAAAAAGTCATGGTATAGTAAGGCATAAAAAGTCATGAAAAAGTCATATAGTAAGGCATAAAAGGTCATAAAAAGTCAGTATAATAAGGCATAAAAAAGTTATAGTATGCTCAGGCATAAAAAGTCATAGTATGGTAAGGAATAAAAAGTAATGAAAAAGTCATTAGTAAGGTATAAAATGTTATGAAAAAGTCATAGTATAGTCAGGCATAAAAAGTCATAGTATGGTAAGGTATAAAAAGTCATAAAAAAGTCATAGTATAATAAGGCATAAAAAAGTCATAGTATAGTCAGGCATAAAAAAGTCATAGTATAGCAAAGCATAAAAAGTCATAAAAAAGTCATAGTATAATAAGGTATAAAAAAGTAATAGTACAGTAAGGCATAAAAAGTCATAGTGTAGTAAGGCATAAAAAGTCATAAAAAATGCTTAGTATAGTAAGGCATAAAAAAGTCAATATAATTAAGCATAAAAAGTCATAATATAGTAAGGCATAAAAAAGTCAGAATAGTAAGGCATGAAAAGTCATAAAAAAGTCATAGAATAGTAAGGCATAAAAAGTCATGAAAAGTCATAATATAGTAAGGCATAAAAAGTCATAAAAAAGTCATAGTATAGTCAGGCATAAAAAGTCATGAAAAAGTCACAGTATACTAAGGCATAAAAAGTCATGAAAAGTCATAATATAGCAAGGAATAAAAAAGTCATAGAATAGTAAGGTATAAAAAAGTCATAGTATAGTCAGGCATAAAAAGTCATAAAAAAGTTATAGTATAGTAAGGCATACAAAAGTCATAGTATAATCAGGCATAAAAAGTCACAAAAAAGTCATGGTATAGTAAGCCATAAATAAGTCACAGTACAGTAATGCATTAAAAAAAGCATAGTATAGTAAGGCATAAAAACTTTATAAAAATGTCATAGTGTAGTAAGGCATAAAAAGTCACAAAAAAGTCTTAGTATAGTTAGGCATGAAAACGTCATAAAAATGTCATAGTATAGTAAGGCACAAAATGTTTTAAAAACGTCATAACATAGTAAGGTATAAAACTTAAAACGTCATAATAGTAAGGCATAAAAAGGTCACAAAAACGTTGTAGTAAAGTAAGAAAACCTCATAGTACATTAAGCCATAAAAAGTCATAGTATAGCAAGGCATGAAAACATAATGGTATAGTAAAGCATAAAACGTAATAAAAACTTCTTAGTATACTAAGGCATAAAAAGACACAAGTCGTATTGTATAGTGAGAAATAAAACATCATAGTACAGTAAAGCATGAAAAGTCATGAAAACGTCTTAGTATAGGATATTGTCTGTCGTCACCATTCAGGTCAAACAGCACAAATGATTGGTGTAGAAGATAAGACAACACATAAAACATCTTTATTGAGCAGTTCAGATTTATAGGCATTTCAAACCAACCTGTATTACAAACAGAAGTATTTCACAGCTGGGCACAGCCTGTCAAATATTGACAACGCAGCTTTAGCCTGTTTACTTAAAAAAATATTTCCATTCCTTGTTTCTAGTGTCCTCTCTGTCCCACCCTTTGTGTCTACAGTACATATATGCTAAGAAGAAAAAAGTCAAGCTAAATAAATACATACAGTTTAAATAAAAGGAGAAATGTAGGTTCAAAGTACATTGCTGGTTGAGGTGCAGCTGCTTACGGCAAAATAACATGGTGGTGACTTGATCTGTACCTGATGCTGTCATGGTTACATTCTGTCACACCCACTCTGGGATTCGGGGCATTAAAAATGGAAGCAGCGAGGTTCATACTAGAAATGGCTTTAACCACATAGGAAGAGTGAGTACTGGACTGTCTTCAACCCGTTCACCTGTTCTCTGTCAGCACCTGAAACTGGGGTTAATATAAAGACCCCTGATCTATATCTCTATGTGTGTTTAGTATTTTGATACTGTACCTAATGCAGGTCTGTCAGACGCAGAGGTATTCTAGTGGTTCAGGCCTCCCTCTCTTTAACACAAAAACCTGCTTGTGTCTTGGCAGTCAAACGGGGCAACCACTAAGGGAAATTCAAGAAAACTTCAAGCAATTTCTTAATTATGTGCTGTTGGTTCTGTCTCTAGTTTTTCCTGACAGTACGCAGCATGGCCCGCTTCTTCTGAGATTTTAATGGTTTGCAGCAAGGAGTGTCACCCGGAGAGGAAGGTGGAATAAACAACTGAGCAACACCAGCACCTGGGCTCAAGTTAAATAGACAAAAATCAACCAGGCAACATTTTAAAAAAAACAAAAAGGCAAGGCAAAGATTTTGAAATGGACTCAGCGTCTGAGTGTGAGGAAAGTACTGCATGTGAGGATCTGTGTCTGAGCCACAGAGCTTCTGAGACAGGTCGGAGGGCAGCGATCAGTAACAATCCAACAAGTCTTCTTTCTCTCACACACCTTGTGATGAGGATACAGCTCGCACAGAAAGCCACAGCTCGGCCTTCTCTCCTAGTTAGCCTCTCTTCCACTGAAACCTGCTGCTGGGTGTTTTCTTCTCATCAAGGGTTTGGACTTTCTGAGGTTTCCAGGTTTCCTGCTCTAAGATAAATGTGTATCTAACCTCTTATTCACTTTATAAGGATTAAACACTGATTGTTTCGTTTAACGACTACACCTCCCATGAGGTTTTAGTGTCCACCTCAGGTTAGGACTCCTGGGAAATGTTTATTATGTTAGATTCACCCTCTGAGTTACAGGCTGCAGTGGAACAGAGGCTCTCTAGGGAAGCTGGACGGGACTTTGGCTCCCTCTTTAAACTTGTCACATGATCTGTTGGACACTTACAGAGTCAAAACTAGTCTTTCTACAGCAACTGGACCAAATTTTACACGTATGTACAGAGAAAATATCAAAGTCTCTCATCCAATTAAAATCCAGATTCTGGCTTGATGAACAGGGCAGAGAAGGCGAACGCCAGGAAAACAATACCTCCAATGATTGTAACTGCGGAGACAAAGCAAAGGAAAGAAGAAGCACGTTAGAGGATGTTCAGACACTCGTTCATAGATGTTTCCTAACACACTTTCCTCATGATGCAGCTCATCGCAGCATTACATCCCCTAGCTGCCCTCGGGGCTCTCTGGCAGCCTCCGGGAGGAGCTGGGACACACTCAAGTCAATTGTTGGGGCTGCTTTGGTCCGCCCTGTTGCTACGACAACACTGACCATGTTAAGTGATGTGAAAATGGATGGATAAACCTCAAGTTTTCGAAACACTGTCAACTCACTCAGCACTTCCTGTTTTAAGCTGCAACAAACGGTTTTAAACTTTAACTTACTTGTTGCGGTTCTGATCACTTATAAATTATGTGTGTATTACTTGTGGACTCACATTTTGGAAATAATTAAATATCCTTCATGTGTTTTTAATCTGCATGTTCACACAAATTAAATCCCATCTGTTTCCATTTCAAGAATGAGACCCACTATGTGTCTGTGGTCCTGTTCAGACTCGACACTAACATCCATCTGATGTGATCTGATCACAAGTGGTCAACTCTAAGTTCAGGTGTGAACGCACCAGAGACGCATTGAGGTGGTCTGCACCACATGTGGCCACATTCTTTTTGCAGTGTGAACGTGTCCTGGGCCACATCGAAGGACCGCCTACTTTACTGACGTCCTCTGTCTCAGTCTCATTAGTCCAACACAGTTTATAATGAACCCAAAATATTTCACTATTTCAAATGGATAAAACCCGATTTCAATTTCGAGCTGTGAGCAGTGCAATGATTCGCTTCACCCCTCCCTACCCCGTTCTATCTCCTTCTGTCCCTCAAACACAATGACAACGAACTATCTGTCATAGTCAGACTGGCTAAAAACAACAATGTGTACTTGTTTATTTGCATACAGAACGAGGAAGTGAGATTCGATCACAGGTTTTCACGCACGACACATTTTAATGCCAGTAGTAAACTGGACATATTCAGAGCTGTCCACTTGTGATCACCCGAGACGTATGTTAATCCCAGGTCTAAACCTAAAGTTTAGGACTGTCGTGATGAAAAGATTTGAAACAGGTGAAATAAACAAAACAACAGCAACGACAAAACTCACCTGTTCTGACTGATATTTTCTGGGCAATCATTCTCCCACCGATCACAGCCAGGCCTGTACACAAACAATGTCCAAGTGTGCCACCCACCGCAACTCCAAATGGATCCTGTGAATTAAAAAAAAAGAAAAAGTGTGTTTCATGTTGATGTGAAACAAAATTACACAATGCCTAAACATCTCATTACCAGTGTATTAACACAGCAGTGCAGTTTGTCATATGGCTCAAAAACAAACAAAAGATTTGTTCCCACTGGGGCCACCCAGGGTGAACATGTAGACACATGTTGAACATGTTTTATTTTAAAGCAAACAGACGTGTCGTAGAAGAAATGCAACAAACCTCCCGTGCAGCCAGAATGATGGTGGTCAGCTGCGAGCGGTCGCCCCACTCTGCGAGGAAGGTGAGGGTGAGGGCTTGGATGAAGATGGGCGAGATGAAGCTGTGCCACTTTCCCTGAGGCAGGGTGGTCCCTGATCCAGCCTCAACATCTGGAGTCCCATTGGCCAGCTTGGAGCGCTGAAGCTGAGCAGACAACACAAGACAAGGTGATTATACTGGATACAATACTCCATTTTCACTTTCAAATAGGAGAGAATACATACATATACTGTACATACAGGACCTGCCACTAACAACACAGAGCAGAGTCAAGAGACTGTTTCAGATTTGACGAGTGGTTTAATTAGTCATTTGAGAGTCTTCATTCAGTCTACACTACAGTAGGTATGTGCTTCAACAGTTGTAACAACCGTTTCAGATAAGTACAAGGTACAGGATGTGTCCACCCATAACAGGTGGGATTTCCAAGATGATAACAGCTGCACTTGGAATAATAAAACACCAGAGTCCCAGCCTGCTGATAAAAATGGCTTCCACTCTGCCTTGATTAAGAGTGGTAAAAATGAGTTCATGCATTAATTTTTGATTCATTTAATTCCACATTTAAATCTTCAGACTGTCAGATGAAATGACTCTTTTCCCTCTTTGCATATGTGAGTACCACATTATCTTCTTCACTGTGGCAGAGCTTTCCTGGTGATAAAGTAATGTGAGTCACCTACGACTCAGTGAGTCCACGAGAAAGTGAGCTACAGTGCTCACACTGAGGGCTTACACAAGGGCACTTACATTCATTAAGTATGTTTACTTATGTGTGATGATTAACAGTAACGATGGAGTCATTCGAGTGTTGCTCAAGGCTTCACAGTTAACACTTGACTTACCTCTTCGTCCTTCTTCTTGATCTCTGCCTGCACCTCCTCCAGCTCCTCCTGGCCTTCATCTGGACTCATCCTCAGCCCCTCTCTCAGCATGCGTATACCGAAGATGGCAAACAGAGCAGTAGACACATAGTACGTGTAGATCCTAGGGATGATGGTGGTGGCGTAGCCAAACAGCACTGCAGAACAGAGTGGGGGGGGGGGCAGAGGGGTTATAATTCATCCATTATTAGTCAAAGAAGAAGGAATAATCATAAAATACTGCAGCAAATCTCCTCTTCTACTAACCAGAAAGACAAGTCATGAGTCCCAGGGCCAGCATGGCGCCCGCCAGCACAGTGAGACGGTTGTAACGCATGGCCATGATGGCTGCAATGAAAAATGTCTTGTCTCCCAACTCTGAGACGATGATGACAGAGATGGAGGCCACAAAGGCGTGGATGAAGCCCAGGTTTCCTTTGGTGGAGTCATCCTCAGACACCACTGGGCCCAGTGGATGAGGACTTGGGGCTTTCTGCAAAGACAATCAACACAGCCACACACAGTGACGGTCAACTCAGGTACACACAGTTTGCAGGTCTGTCCCAGCTGCTTTAACACAGTGGACATCAGTGAGGATGTAAACAGAACTGGTGGTGACCTTCTCATGCTAACACAAGTCTTTCACCTCATCCCGGAAATTTAATTCAAATATTTGCTTTTCCTGGTTATATTTAGACGTGAGACACTAACTTTACCCACTCGAGCTCAAAACCGGAACTCAGTGTGACATGTCTGTTAGCATGCAGGCTAGCTCGGAGGTGCTAGGAAGCGGCGGCAGCGACCAGCGTCAAAAACTGTCGCTTACCGACGGCGGTAAAAGATTAAACCGGTACTAATGAAGTGTAAACGTTCACCTCTTGTGGGGGCTGCTCCTGGACCGGTTTGTGCTCCTCTGGAACAGCAGCAACTCCGACCGACAACAACAACACGGCGGCGAGCGGAAACAAGACACATACTACACTTCTACCAGCCCGTCCATGTCCTCCGCCGACCATGAGAGGCATTATTGCTCCCGAAGCTCTGACCAAAGATAGTTTGTTCGTTAATTTCTCTCCCGCGAATCACTTAATATCACCTGCTACCGGACTGGCTAACTTCATATTAGCAACCTGTACAGTATGAGGGACTCCTCCGTGATACACGTCACGATCAGAAAGACCGAGCCAGCTCAAGACGGAAGTTACAATCTTGAGGAGAAGTCTGGAGGACAAACCCCGAGAGATGATTGGACCGTCAGAAGAATGACGTCAAGTTGTAGGCTGACGTACGCAGTGGAGAGTTCATTAATTGGACAGTCTCACTGTCACTAACAAATCCATACAGATGTATTTAAAACCAGTTCAATGCTTCAAAAATATACAAAGAAAAAGAAAACTGTAAAGTTTTCACCACATGTTGTTTGTTACTACTTTCGTGTCATAAAAGACGAATAAAATAATTAAAATGTAAATGTATAACTATTTGCTAAACGTTTATTCAATGGCTGTAAGAACCTCTGACCACTTTAAAGGTCTAAATATTCAGTACTGATAGTTTCACAATAAATGTTTAAATACAAAAATGCAAATGCTCTGTACACGTTTACAATTAAAGTAATTTTAATCAGTTTTCCACCAAAGATTGACAATCATTTGCGTCGCCATCTTGTGTAAAATCCAAATGTACACATAATAATCACTATAAATAAATAAACACAAAGTAATTAAACATAAATATATAATCATCTTTTCATTAAGTGTAGTATTTAATTACAACAAATTTGATTTTATGTTATAGTCCAGAATTATATGTATGAAAAATGTCCAAATGTTTCTACTACAGCAGCATATTGCTGTCAATATAATTATAAGTTTCACAAAATTAAAAAAAATGTTAAAACAAAAATAACTTGAGTAACAATATACAATATTGTTATCACATACTTTGGTTTAACAAACACGCCTCATCATACAAGATAAACTGGTATTCTGCTATAAAGAGAATATGAACATTTTACATGTTGCTATAACAACAAAAATATTCAGTCAAAGCCTCAATCTCTCTGATTCCTCCTTATGTTTTTTTTAATTAAACAAACATTCAAAAGTTGCTTATTTTTAACAACATATCTTATATGTAATGACATACATCAGTATATCGTACATTGTTGTAACAAAAACAAGGTCTTGTTGTATTGAACGGTTGTTCAGTGATGAGGTTCCTCTTTTCTTCACATCAGTCTCAAAGAAACAGCTCATCGTTCACCTGGTGAGACTTCTGCTGTGGAGGAATGTTCCTGTAGCGCTGCTACACCTCACAGTCACAGCTGGAGCTGCCAGCTGACAGCTGCTTGGTCCTGATCACCTTGTCAATCAATACTGATAGAGGTGAGTTTTACTCCTGCACATCCAGCTCCTCAGATGTGTCCAACATTTGTTGAGCAGTTTACAGTTCTGAAAACACAGTGGTGACAACTCTTCAAAACACAAAAGGTATGAATGCTTTTCTATGTCTTGGGTATGACTCGTATTTGCTGATGTAAAGGTCGTGGCAGAGCTGTGCTGCCAGTGATTGGTTGAAGAGCACATAAAGGACAACCAGCCACCACGTTAGAGACAGGCCTCCGAAAACCAAGGCCAAAGAGATGTAGATCAGCAGCTCAGCAAAGTAATGAGGGCATGAAACCAGCTCGAAGCCGCCTCCATGTGGCACCCTGTGAGCCAGCGTCTCCACTGCTCCTGCAAGACAACAAACAGGAAATACATCGCAGACCGGCAACATGTTACTATTCACACAGTCACCATGAATCTATGTTAAATTAAAGCTTCATTACCAATATTTTTATATTAACAATCACCCAGCCTTTTAGTCTCTTTTAGAGCATTGTTTTGGTTTTCTGGCTCACACCTCCACACTCATCATTCTTGTTTCCAGACTCCACAGAAAGCTGTTTTCAGCTCCGATTCATCAGATAAACATCACACACACTTAGCTACGAGCTGGTGAACAGAGTGAAGCATCTGGCAGCTAAAGATACAGAATATTAGCTGAGACCAAAACAACCAGTGGTGATACGTGAGAGGTCGAGGCTTTGAAGTGTGTGTCGACACGTGTATCATTTTACACGACGTGGACATTTAAACGCTGAGTGAAATTATATGGTTATATGGTTCAGCCACAAATCAAAACACCGACACTGGCCTTAACCTGACTGGTATTAATACATTTGATGCATAGAAAATAAATTTCGATTGCCTTTACAGTAACTTATATTATAAAGATCTGCTTAGAATAAAAAACACAATCATGGTTTCCCTTATACTGATATTAAATATGTAATACACAAACGTTTGTTTCATTCTGGCCAGTAGCTGTCGACCTGTTAACAGGAAGCAACAAGAAAATGAACCTTTTCTTCATGAAGCTTCGTCTCACCATCACTAAAAACAACTGCCAAGTGGATACTACAGTTGTATTGTCAATGTCTGTTGGTTGTAACAAGGTCCTCATAACTTCTCTGTAAGGTGATAATATGTCATTGTTGTGGTTTCAGCTTTTCCTGCAAACAAACAATTCAAATCCGTTTGTGTGCCATTTTAAAGGGATTACCCTGCAATAATAATAACACACTTCTGACATAAATAAAAGAATGATGTTCACTGTGGTGGATTTCTGTGTAGCCAGAATCTAATAATTACAGCACTTTGGGAAATGATCAGTAGTATGACACAGTGTACATCACTTGTACTAAATGACCCAAAACACGCAGGAACACAAGAAGACAACTGCACAAGCTTACCTGACTTTCCGGTGCGCAGCCTGGCCAGCAGCACCAGGGACTGATGCTGCAGCAGCGAGGCCACAATGAAAAGTGTGAATCCAGCCACATGAAGCCAGTGCAGCTGAGAGAGGAGGGGGCCACTCCCTAAACAGAACAGCATAAACATCAATAGCACATAGTGGAAGCAGTGGAAAGAAGATGTGGTGGACTAGTTTAGGTCTAACCTTTTCCCATGTGATCTGAGCAGAGCACCGTCAACCCCAGCACGATGTAGTACCCCACACCGAAGAAGTACTGCACCAAATGCAGGGACCCACCAGAGAAGACACTGATGAACAGGCACTCCAGCAGCCTCCTGAGGGAGTGGACCCAGAGCAGCAGCTGCACCAGGAGAGTCGACAGCTGTGGGACTGCAGGACAGGAATGACATCACACACCAGTATGAATAAAAACAGGAAAACACGAGCTTTAACAGATCAGAGGGGTGTCAGCCTACCCTGACCATCAGCGCTCGGTACACCTGTCAAGACCTCCAACGTCCCTGTCAGCCATGCTGGGCGAGACTGATGCTGAAATATGAAGTTCAGGTACAGGAGCAGGAGGAGGCCGTTCCAGCAAACAGAGAGGGCGTAGAAGTGCCAGAACCACCTGAAGGGAACAAAGGATTTCTGTGTATGTTCAACCAAATTAGTGCTGAAGTAGTTCATTCACTTGAGTTAAAAAAAAAAATCTGCTCTTTTTTTTCCGAATTACGAGATAATTATCTAATAATTCTGACTTGTTTTTAAAAAATCCTGTTTTTTTTTTTATTAATTCAGAAAAACAGAGAATTAATTTTCTTGGAGATCATTATCTCAGTATTCCGAGTCAGTACTTTTTTTTTTTTTAAAGAAAACTTCTCTGAAAAAAATCCTGTTTTTCTGAATTAACGTGATAATTCTCACAGAAGTTTTTTAATCTGTTTTTCTGAATCAATGTCTGCTTTTCTGTATTTCTGAATTAATTCATAAACAGCACTATTCTTTTCAAGAAAAATTTTCTCTGAATTTTTTTTTCTACAATAACAAGATAATTCTCTCAGAATTTTATTAAAAGATTTAATGAAAAAAATAAATTCCTGCTCTATTTTTCTCAATTAACGACATCTCGTATCTCATGAATCAGAAAAACAGACGCTTCCGTAAATTAGCATCTTCACGTTTATGTTTTTAAAACATAAACAAAAGCATTACAAATTAATATTTTAGCTAAACAAATCAGAGATGTATAAATTATATACAGAAGTTATAAATACAGTTTCGTTGTTTGTGATGTGTTACCTTTTAGGGACGTCAAACACACGCAGCCATTCATCGCGTTTGAGGTTTTGTTTTGTTTTTCCGTATCGAATAAGATCCTGAAACAACATGTACAGACCACGTGTTTCATACCTGCTCGACACCTTGTGAGCACACAACGCCAGGAGGAAACACAAAGCCAGAAAACCCCACAAAACGTCAATAAGACTCGAGCCGACCGGGCTCCAACTCATTTTTGAGTTCTGCGGGTCGTGTGCATTGTTTTGTGCAACACTGAAAAGAGACGCCGACGGGAGAAAAAAAAACGGGCCGCAACAGTTCCGGGTGGGATGTGACGGGAATGTCGTAGTGACCTAATAGAAGGAAACAGCAGGGGGCAGCACCTCAAACTCACCACAGAAAAAAAATGGAGCCAAACATGAAAACATGGATCACTCAGAAATATTCAGACTATTTACATTTACATTACATTTTCTCTTGAAATGAAACGTGATGAATAAAAAAGTTTTATTTCATAACCTTAGTAGCAATTCATCTAACAAAAGGTTTATGTCCATGTGTTATACTATACATCCCACCCATATAGAAATGCAATATATGACATATGTGTCCTTATATCAACAGGGATATTGTCATATATGTTAACTATAAGGGGATATATTATTAACACATATATACATCCTGTGGATATATGAAGAGAAAAGTTTATATCATATATGAAATACTGAGAGTATATGTACATTAAAATGATGTATGATGAGATTTTATATGGTTTAACATGTTAACGATATATATTTAATTTATATGCGCAAATTCTATATACATATATGTTTTTCTTATTAATTTTAAACGTGTTTCTTCCCATTGTGGGAAAGTGGTCTCAGACTTTCGGACCTTACTGTATAAAATATCATCATATACTGACAGGCTTTGGGATGGACATATATTTACATAACATACGTGTACAATATAGAGTATAGACATGTATGTCAATATATGAAATTGTTCCAATTTCTAATAGGTTTTTACAAATAATTTTTACACATGTATTGTTATTTTAAATGTACATATATTTCATTTATGGAAATTCAGTATATGTGCATATATTTAATTTGTGCATGAGTTAAAATGAATGAATGAATAAATAAATAAAACCAAAGTAAACATTCACAGAAGCCAGAACCAGTGCTTAAACAATTATTTAATTATCAGAATAGTTGATGGTTAATTTTCAGTTGATTATCCATTTGACTAATCAGTGAATTGACTGATCAGTTCAGCTCTAATTAAGATTCTTTAACAGCAGTGTCACAAGTAAAAGCACTGATGACACACACAGAAAGGCCCCGTATTAAGTGTTATATTACTTTATACATTATATTATTTTTAGGCTACTGATAAATGAACATGAAAGCAACATTTTAGCAAGTATTAGCTGGTAGAAGTTTATCTTTACTCATTTATATTATATTTCATATTGTTACATTTATAGCAGTGTGTTGTATTGTGTGAGGTAATCATGTAAAACCTTTTTCTGCAAAGTGAAAAGAAAAGAAAAACATTTCCCTCTGACATGTTGCCGAGCAGAGAAGTAGAGAGAAGGGTGCGTTCGCGTGCATTCGTGTTGTGAGATGTGTGCGATTGTTTAGATTCAGAATCTGCATCACTTCATCCCACTTTGGTCCTCAGGCCGGTGTGACCAGACACAACGTTGAACTGACCCAGATGGCCTCCATGTTTCACTCCTGCTCACGTTCTGCTGAGCTTTCCACTCCGATGTTGACACGTTGTCTGTGTTGCTGCTCACTACAATACAGCAATGTGTCAAAGGAAGAGACATGTGTTTGTGTGAAAGACTTGGTAAGGCCTTTGAGGCTTTAGATTCCAGGATGCCTCTTAGAGGAACACAGTATCCTGTCCGAGGAAGTGTGGACTGTGTCCCGCTTCCCTCCCTTCCCTGTCCTCCGTGTCCTCCTCTTTTTTTGCTGTGCCAAGACCTGGACCCTCTGCAGCCCCCCCAAGACATCGCAGTAACCTCTTGCTTTGTGGGCGAGGTGCTGCTTTGTGGGCACTGGACTGTAAAAATAAGATTTGTATTAATTATACAAGTCAGTTTGTCCAGATTCAGACACAGCACAAAGGAACGAGACACATAGAGACTGTTGACTCTCTGCTCTTTGCTTCTTACACACCGGCAGAAACAATTTATCCAGAGGTGAGAGGGTAAACTGGCAAAACATTCCTGCTTCAGCACTAATACTAATAAACCTCCGACATACTGCTGCAGACAGGAAGAGATTACAATAAAGCGTGACAACATAATTTTAAAATCTTGTTTGTCTACAAACATAACATATTGCCCCACTTACGTTTCACAACTCCTGGCTGCACACCACACTGTTACAGACCCGATATCCTCGGGCCAAACCTTTGTGTTTTTCCCTGAATTTTTTAAAACTGCACATTTTCTCACTTTATTGATGATTTCAAGAGTCAAATAAAATAAAAAAAACACCTTTACTCACTGGAATGAGTGGAGAAGTTTGATACTGCTCTTAAAGCTGCCTGTTAAATATGAAGAGGGGACTCTGTGTTCAAAGGTTAAAAAAAGGGCCTTCTGGCTCCTCACTAATGAACATATTACTTGTCAAGTTAGTTAGCCAGACTGTTTCTTGGCCGAGTGCAGTGACTTACAGCCAAGAAGTAGTCCGGTTTCAGGGGCATCGATCAATACTCTCATCTCACTCTTGGCAAGAAGCAAATATGTCTATTTGCCAAAATGTCAAACAGATCCTTAAATGTTCTTACACTGACCTGCTCCTGTATTTCGTCTTCTTTCTGTCTCCCTGTAGGTGTTTGTCCTCTCCTCTCTTTCGTTCTGTTTTGTGCTTCAGATCAGCTGGGGGAATGTTGATGCCTCGAAGGCCAGTAGTTTAACCAAAACCCTCGAAAACTCAAGAGTATTTGATTTTCTAATCATTTGAAATCATATGATATTATGATATATTATGATGTCATATGATCATATAGATATTTTTAATGATCTATATGATGATTTTTTATATGTTTTTACATGTTGCAGCCAAATATATTAAGAATATATACATCATTTAAATATGCAATTTTATTAAAACAACATACATGTAAAAATGTGTATGTTTATATATGTGTTTTGTATTAATTTCTCATTATTTTTAAACATGTTTATCTTTCCATTCTGGCAATTTGGGTCTCAGACTTTTCTACTGTAAGTAATATCAACATATATTGACAGGCTTTGGGATGGATGTATAGTTATGTGACATATATCTACAATATAAACATACATATATGAAATTATTCCAGTTTCTTTTGACATTTTTATATGTTTTTATATGTAGATATATTTCTTATGTGGAAACTTATGTTCATTTATATTGTTGTGTTGTGTTGCAGTTCTTCTATGCACTGTGGCCTCTTCTTTTCTGTGTCAGTCCCAACAATGCAGAGTGGACACACAAACACCAACCCCTCCCTCTCTGTGTGTCTCTCGCTTCGAGCTCATTCTTTCCACACTGAATTGTAGGACATTGACCTTTGAAATCCCTCCTGTGATCTCAGACCACAAACACGAACGGAGCCAAGACAATTCACAAGTTTTTATCAGATGTGATTTCAACACTGTTTTTTCTATTTTTTTATAGTTTATTTCTAGACAGAGTAACTTGAGATCGCTGGCTATAGAGAGAAAAGATAAAACAGCCTTTTCTTTATGCTTCATCACTTTGCTTTGTTGCATCAGTAACTGGAAATCTAAGACAAATTCCTGCTTTGAAAGTGTTGTACACATATCGAGCTGACACCTTTCACATCATGTGATTTTTAACAGTCAACATCCAGATGTATAAAAGCCTTTTACAGTATTATGTTCACACATTCCCTCGCCCAGTCTTTCCTTCTCCTGCGTTTCCCCCATAATACTAAAATCATCTTTCGTGTTTCTCTTTGTCTTTGAATGGGCCAGAGTTCAAAGCAATCATCTCATATTGAGTTTGGAAAACAAAAGGCAGATAAAAAGAGAGAGCGGCAAATGTTCTGTTCTCTGGAAACTGTTTCCAGCTTTCCAGAGGTGCGTTCTGTGTGGAGTGCCCTCCAGGAAGTGTTGCTTTGGAGGAGGGTGGGCGGTTTGGTGGGCAGAGAGTCCCTGTAGGAGTGACCAGGGCCAGGAAACATGTGGATGTAACATACAACCCCCATCATCTCCCCTAAACCCTGATGAACCCCTGCCAGCTTCAAAACTCACACCTCCTGCTCCTCATCATCAGGTGAGAGACTACATTCATCCCGCCCTGTGGAAAACACGATCATCAGTCACAGTCTGATGTTGTTTGAAATCGCTTTGCTTCTCTGACACGTTTCTACTCAAACGATCCAAACTGCTCCAGCTCTAATTTCCAAACCTTCATCTTTGCATTCGTTGATTTGGTCCTATATAAAGAACATAGTATGAAGTATAACTGAGTTTGTCATTATAGTGAGTGATTTCAACATTCATGACAGCGACAGCCTCAGTTCTGCAGTACAACTCCATTAGCTTTTCTTAAAATGTAAATGTTTTAATGACACCCTCGATCTCGTTCTGACGTGCGGAACAGAAATAGTTTTAATCATATTTTACATACATTTCAATCATAGTTCCTCACCAACCCTCTTTTCTCTGACTACTCTTTAGTACCGTTCGATGATCTTTGTTGATCGTGCTGCAGTCTCACCACGACGACCCTCGACTCTGTCGCCCCTCGGAAAATGAAGGCAGTGAATCACAGGTTCGAAAGTACATTAACAAAAAAAGAAAAAGGCGTGCTTTAAAGCAGATGCCGTGAAAGCTGGAGACGAAGTGACGTTCCACCAATCTTTACAGATAGTTTAATAACCATAAAAAACAAGACGAGGTCAAAACCTAGTTTATGACTGGAGTGTGTCGTAGACTCGTGTCAGCTGGTTTCAGCTCTTTATCTGTTCTCTTCCCTCCTCCTCTCTGTGCTCACATATACAGTATTTTAATACAGCTGAATTCACAATAAAGCTTCTCATTCACACGGTTTTCTGTCTCTGTTGTCGAGTATGAAACAGTGACTGAAACACGGCTCATTAAGATGCATGTTAACGTCCAAGCTGCTGCTAAAATCCAGATTTTATAACAACGACGTCGTCTGACAAAAATCACCAAACGCATAAATGAAAGACAGAGACTGAGCTGTGATTTCAGCTGCATTTACTGTAAAATGATCACTCAGAGAGAAAGTTAGAAACTCTTATGCTTTGTCCAAAAAGTCACTACATTTGTCACTTGGTGCTTTTTTGATTAAAAAAAAAGGGTCTGAAAAGTCAGTAAATCTAGTGACAGAGGTTTTAATTTGGCTGTTTGTTTGTGGTAAAACTCCTTTGAAAGAGCAAAGACCAATGAAGAAACTCATCACTCAGTCATGTGGCATCCGGCTGAGCAGTGATGTGACTTCACTCAGGTCTGCTGCCACGTTCACTGACCCAAATTTTGACTAAATGAGACACCTTAATGTTTCCTGTGCAGCTGATCAACAGACGACAAAGACAGGAAGCAGAAAAATGTCTCACGTTAGATTAAAGACCTGAAACCTGAAGTTTGAGATTTAGTAAAAAAAAAAATAATAATAATCAAAAGGGGGAAAGTTTCTGTAAATTCTGCTTAATGAACAGTTTGCAAACACTGCCCAAGTGTTGTTTACATTGGAAATTGCATATGCACAAGAGCAGAAACTATGTCAGCCATAGCAACAGTAACTAAGGTCAGCAGGATCACACAGTCAATTTGATGATGCCTGAAACCAGATACAGAAAAGTAAAACGTGGGTGTTGAAGAAGCTCAAGCTCTGGAGTCAATTCTATGAGAGATTCACCTGTCAGAGCACAGGGGAGATCAGGTAGGGGAGGTTTTATAAGGACCAGGTGTGTGTTCTCTACAGACCCCTTTATTTGAAACCATTCTATATCACCAAGGGGTTTGAAATGATTAAGATTACTCATCGTTTATTTCCTTCAAATTATGTTTACATACAATGAACGTTAATTTTTTAGTGTATTTGTATCTTAATCGATCCAGAATTAAATGAAGCTGTTTGATACCTTCCAGGCAGGATTATGTGAAAGCAGATCATATGTTGGAACCAATTAGTATGTTTCCTTTGAGATAATTTCCAATGAGGCAAATTGTTTTCATTTGGAAGAGGAAGTTTATCATTTCTATCTTGTATTTACTAATGTTTTCTGTAAAGAGGAGAAACATAATCCAGGCGAAAGATCTAAATATTGCTCTTTACCTTAGTGGATGCATTACCAATGTACCTTGTCTTATTTGTTATGGTATCCCTGGCACTGTATTGACCTTTGTTTGTTTGTTGTATAGAAAATCCTCCACACATGCATCCATCTGTTCACCGTTCCTCCATCCAACCCTTGCCCCGCTGGCTCCTGGATCCATGTGTTTTAATGTGCACACTTTAACTTAATGGGACAAGTTCGTTAACCGCCAAGACGTATAGCAACACGTGTCCTATGTCCACAGGGAGAGGCTTGTAGCGTTGAAGCAGGGTGGCACAGTCGCCAGGTATTAGGTCAGAAGTTTAAAATAACTGAAAGCAGCCTCCTTACCTCCTTCATACTCCATCACCACGCACAGCTCCCTCTGTGCCTCAGAGGATAAAAACAAGAAAGAGGCTGTCAGTGACAGTGAGGATGTCGCGCTCCACCAACACCTGCTGGACATGTGATGTTTTGGACAAACTCTGCTGTTTGATCAGTTTCACAACAAAAAGCCTGACCGATCTCCCTGTGGTGCTCGAGGTTCAAGGTCCTGGACACAACGCTGGAAACACGAGCAGCTTCTACGACTCCGATTTTAGAAAGAAACTGTCCAGACAAATTCTTAATGTCAACATCATCACATCCTCTTTTCATCTTCTTTTCTCCTCTGACCGGACTCTGCACTCGATCCACAGAATCCGTTTGAACACAAAGTTCAAAGAAACTGTCTCCAGTGCTGACAGGCTCGACTGTGTCAGAGTCCTTCATCTCTGGTTTCCTCAGAGGACGACTGCAAGCTGCGATCAGACACATTAAAACATGTTATGTAATAAAAAGTACACAGAAAAGTATTTAAAGGATTAGAACATAAGGTGAGTGAAGAGAAGAAAAGCAGCTCTGTCCTGTTCATAACGGACCGTGTCCTACGTCACATTTAAGTTTGGGAACAACAAACAATATAACAACACTGTTTTATTTTTCGGCCCATAAAAATAAAAGCCAACAAATACAATTTACTTTACATATAAATACATAAATAATGTAGTTAATAAATATAAAAGTGCACCCTATTGGGATGATAATAAAATCATCTCTCCGTACCTGTTAAAGATAATTGACTCCATCAGACCAAAACCAGTGATCCGACTAGACCTGGTTTCATTACACCAGTGTTGTCTTTTGTGGCTTTTGCATTCATGTTGTGGTTTTTGAATTTGTTTTGTAGCTTTTGTATTTGTGTTGTGACTTTTGTATTTGTTTTGTGACTTTTGCATTCGAGTTGTGACTTTTGTCTTTGTGTTGTGGCTTTTGCATTCATGTTGTGGTTTTTGTATTTGTTTTGCAGCTTTTGTATTTGTGTTGTGGCTTTTGTGTTTGTTTTGTAGCGTTTGTATTTGTGTTGTGACTTTTGCATGCGAGTTGTGACTTTTGCGTTCGAGTTGTGACTTTTGTATTTGTGTTGTGGCTTTTGCATTTGTGTTTTGGTTTCTGCATTGCGTTGACTGTCTGGGCCACTGTATGGAGCAGCAGTTTAACCTGATGGAGGCTGTTGGCTGTGTGAGAGACAAAATAACAAAGATGATCTGTCTTTTCTAACCTTTTCTCTGAGTGATAATTTTATAAGTAAATACAGCTGAAGCGCAGCACAGTCTATGTCTTTAACAGATCTGTGATGTCGTGGTTATAAGATCGGGATTTTAGCAGCAGCTTGGGAATGTCCTGGATGTTAACATGTAGTCTTAATGAGCCACGTTTCAGTCGCTATTTCAAAGTTGACAAAAGACACAGAAAAACATGTAAGTGATACAGATTTATTGTGAATTCAGCTGTATCAAAATACTGTATAAGAAGACAGAGAGTAGGAGGTAAGCAAAAAGATACAGGACTGAAACAGTTTTCATTCACCTCCTCAATTCCGCGTGTTGACTACATTGTGTTCAGCCATATGTTAAATTGAGTGTTGTTTTGCTTTTAGCTCCTGCTGCTCACTTGATTTGAACATTGAGGAGTTTCCCTCAGACACTCTGGTCAAAGTTCACTGTTGTCTCTTGTGTCAGAGTAAGACGGAGACTCCTCCCCTGCTGCTCCCCTCTCCATCCTCTCCAGCACCTCCAGCTCCATGGACACTCACACCCACACCCATACACACACAAACACACACACACACACACACAGTCACTCACACAGACGCACTTTACATGCTGCTGATCTCTGTACACTGCCGCTCCACTTCTGCTTGTTTTCATGACTTTTCGGCGGCACAGACTCTCTCTGGAGTGGACCGTGAAGCGCCAGGGGTCAGTGGATTAGTACTGAGCCTCCAGGATTATTCTCGCTGCACTGAAGCTGTTTTAACTGGACTTTGATGAGGACTCTGTCCACGGCTCCTGTTGGATGATGGCTCAGGCGGTCTCCGTCATTCCAGTGCTGGGCATTATTCTGAAAATCACTTGTGTCGCTGGTAAGACAACAAAATAAAACTTCTCAACTATCCTACCTGAACTGTTGACTAAACTGACTAAACTGGCTCTGTTGTTTTGTGATGTAGAAGTTTGCAGACAAAATTATAAGATACCAGATTCTTTTTATTTTTCTGTCAATTTCATGTCTTCAGTTGTGAGTTTATGAGGACAGACACACTCCTCAGTGTTTTTGTGGTTTAGAAGCAGTTGCATAAGTCTACACTGGTGAAAAAGTATTGTAGTGTCAGCTCATCTCATGTCAGGACAAAGGGACATGTTGAGAGAAGGAGGGAACTTTTTAACCATAAAAGATTTAGTTCCAACCACTCATACTCCCATTTTGTATCAGTTAAGGAATAAGGAGTGGCATGTTAATATTAGGGATCATTAAGTTAAATTAAGGCCGATTTATATAATGCCTACTTGGTCAGCTCTTTTTTTTTTCCATACAATACAATAAGTGCATTAGGGCCTCACAGGGAGGCGGTGGGCAGCCTGTATCCTCAGAAACAGGAACCCCACCTACACCACACTGTGCTGGGCTATTGAGTCCAGCCAGGCCCATCTTCCCCTGCTTCCTGTTTTTACAAAGCTCCGCCATTTTCTGCAGCAGTGGAAAGAATGGAAAGTGGAAGTGGAAAGTTACAAAACACATCCCATACTTTATTTCTTTATTCATCTTTCAGTTTCTCTCCTGTGCTTTTGACCTAAAGTCTTTTTCTCAAGAACAATACTGTGTTTTTTTTTTTTTTAATGTGACCTCCGACCTCCAAACTTGTCAGGGACAAGTAAAACTGATGTATCACTGCTGATTGTGTTTGACATGTGACTGTTTCCTGCAGCCATTGAACTGCGCTTTATGCCGGATCCACCAACGCTCAACATGTATGGCGTTCACAGGTTGAACAAATCTGACAACCTGGAGCTAATATGCAGGTGTGTATAAATGTTCCTCACTGGACTCCCTCCATTACTGACCCAAACCTGGACAATCATTTATACCTGTCTGTCCCTTCGCTGGCAGAGGCCGCCAGTACCTGAGGTGGTCGACTCCTCCTACCAGCACACACTTCTCCGTCAGTGACTGCAGCGGATCAGGACTCTTCTGCACAACGCTGAGGATCTCCAACGCAACTGTGAATGAAACGGGACAGTACCAGTGCTCCTACAGAGACCTGAAAGTGGAGGACGGCAAGACCTCAGCTGCGGCTTATGTGTTTGTTCACGGTATAACTCACTTTAACCTCGTTTTGATGGTGGCAAATACACAGTGGCATTATGGTGTAGTGTAGAGCTCCACCCTGTCCACCTCTGTCTCTGTCCTGATCTAAACTTTGACGGTCAATATATCATTAAAATATGATCCAATGTTTTTACCTATGAAGTACAAAGGGGGACAGTCATGTATTGTGACCATGGTAACTGTTATATTGTGATAAACTATGGTGAAGGCCGACTGATAAAATGACGACTCCCTACTTTTGAAGCAGTCGTGAAGTTTGTTTGAAGTATGTTTGTTTTTGTTAGAGTACTGCCCGGTTATGATCTCCTAACCAATAAGTGAGCCAGATCACCTTTTCTCTGCCTAGAGACAACAACAAAAAGTTTTCTTGATTAGATAACTCTATTTTGATGGTTTTGCTATAGCTAGCAGCCAGCCCCCGCTGTTGGCCAAAAGAAGCACAATGCTGGTCATCTGTTTTTCATTACAAACATTAAAAATGGGGACATTTCCAGGGACAACTCCAACTGGGGACAGGCCACCAACAACTGGGAGTGTCCCAGGAAAACCGGGACATCTGGTCAGCCCAATCTAAACATGTATCTGATGTTGTGTTTTGATTTTAGATTACAAGGTGCCATTCGTGCCATCTGAGAAGGAATACGAGGTGGTGTTCATCCGTGAAGGAGAGCGGGTGGTGATACCATGTCGAGGCTCGGTGGAGAATCTCAACGTTACGCTCCACACTGTAAGGAAGAGTTGTTTCTGTTCCCTTCATGATGAACAGTAGTAAATTTAGTAATGTGCCCGAATTTTGGGGGTCGCAATACTATAAACTTAATCAGTGATTCTCAAATTCAAAGGTCAGGGGACCCTCAGCGGTCGTTGCGGGAGTTTATTTTCACTATATTTCTATCTATAAGTAACACAGTTACAGAAACTATGAATATTCTGGTCAAACACTTTCTGTCATAAAACATCTAAAAGCAAAAATCTTATCAGATGGGGGTCTGTGGTCTAATTTGTGTCCTTTATGTGAAGAAGTTTGAGAACCACTGACTTAAATTACATCCTAATTAAGGGTGCTCCAACAAGTTAGTGATGCATTTCTATAAAGTTGGGATTCAGAAGAGTCATATTAAGCGAAACACATTGTGTTTTTTTTAATCGGGCTCTCTAAACACCGGATCCTGCATTTCCCAAAATGCAACCAATAACATCTTTTCAGTTGACCCTTTATGTTAATGCCTGTGTTTTTCAAACTCCATGCCTCAGGTTGTACCGCAGGTTTTCTGTTGTACATTTAGTCTCCAAGCAAAAATGACATCATTAGGGTTGTTTTTCAGACTTTAGAAAGCTCCTCCAGAGATGACAACTCAGATGACATTACACAACTTCCTGAGGAGTGATATCAGTAACCTCTGTAAATCTGATATCAGTTTACATGGCTCTTTTTTATCTAATGTGACGTTGTATTATTTTCGTAATCGGATAAACCTGCTCATGTGTAAAAGCTGCTGTTTATAATTCCTTGGTCAAAATCAGCACATTTATTTCTGTGTCTGTCAGAAGTATCCAAACAAAGAGCTTCATCCCGATGGGAGGGATTCTCTGTGGGACGCCAAGACGGGGTTCACCATCCCCAGTTACCTGATCAGCTACGCCGGCGTGGTGTCCTGCCAGACTCGTATTGGGAATGAGACATTTAAGTCTCCTCTCTACATCGTGGCTGTTGTCGGTAAGATGGAGTCAAGACTGTGGAGTTACTTGATGTGGTGTGTTTTATAACGTATTGTTAGTATAGTGATATAAGTAAGCGATAGAGTGACTTGGTGAAGTGAGTGAGTGAGTCTGTGGTCTCAGGAGAACAATAGGCCGTGGACTGACTGCCATGTCTTCCCTCCCTTTTCCTGCAGGATACAAGATCTATGACCTCACCCTGACCCCGGCACAAGTGAGGCTGTCTGTCGGGGAGCGGCTGGTGCTCAGCTGCACTGCCCACACCGAGCTCAACGTGGGCATCGAGTTCAACTGGACGCACTCTGGTCAGGCCCTGGTCAGTGTCCAAGGGCTTCCCGCTCTTCTTCTGTGACAGTGTGATGAAGTCATGTGACAGGCTTCAATCAGCCTGTTTGACTCAGACACCAGAAGTGCCGTATCTCACTTCCCGTTGTCCTTGCACATATTCCTCATTTCCTGCTTTCAGGAATCCTTCAGCTTATCTCTGTAAGGTCAAAGTGCAGAGACGACCAGAAGTGTGTCTGGTGTTCTGTCTGCTTAACTGAGAAAAAATACAACATGTCACAGTTCTCTCTCCCTCTCCCTCTCTGATGTCAGAGCTCAGTGAACGGCTCGAGGCCGACCCACGCGATGCCCCACAAGAAGAAGCTGTGGAACTCCCTGGAGCTGTCCAACACGCTCGTCGTGGAGAACGTGACGGCGGATCACAGCGGAGAATACACCTGCACTGCGTCCAGTGGGCAGATGGAGAAAAGCGCCTCGGCATCTCTTAAAGTGTATGGTAGGTGCAGTCGGAGCACAGCGCTGCTGCAGACGGCTGTTTCATGTCTCGTGCTGCAAAAGTAAAAATCTCACATTCATGAAAGCTGCCAGCAACACGTCCCCCTCCTGTACAGACAGCTGAGTGTTGTATACGGGGATGATGTGATATTGATGATGCGATATAAAGTTATGAAACTGCTGTGTGGCGTTTCATGCATTTGGAACAAAGGAACCAGCAGTGGGTGAGTTAATATGCTGTGATGATACTGTCTGCTGTTGTACTGTGGAAGCACAGACCTGCACCCAGTGGAGCCCTGAAGCCTATCAGACTAGTGAAAACACAAATGATTCAATCAATAAATAATAGTTAGTTAAATGATTAAAAATGACTGTAAAAACAAATATAACAGTTTATTCCTTTAATTTAACCCCCAATCTGTTGATTTCCTTCCTGAATTTAAATTGATTTTACTCTTTTGTTTATCTTTCCCTGACTCATTTTTCAGTTGTTTTTTTATTATCATTTATTTTATATTTCTCGAAGAAACATTTTCCTCCTGATTATTGTTTTTGCTGAAAACTAAACAGAGAAGTAAAACAAATGTTTTGAGTTTATTTTGTACACTGATTAGAGGAAAAATAAAAACCAAGTGATTAGAGTTTAAAGGAAAAGTCTTTTTTTTACAAAACATTTTGATTGTATAACTTGTAGTGACATGTATTGATGTTTTCAGTTGTATTTTTGTTTGTTAGTGAAACATACAAACAATACAGCTCCTACAGAATGAACTGAATCCATAGTGTCAGTCGTGGTGCATGTGCAGCTTTTCTGCCAACTGTTAACATTATAATTACTGATCAGATTAAATAAATAAAGTTAATCTAGGTAAGAAACATGAATTTTTATTATTATTATTTATAGAAAATGTGAATCTCAGTATAATTACTATGAGGTTTCTGTTTAGTTTTTGTTTTTCCATGAGCTTTTTTAAGCAAATTCGTCTCAGATAAAATACTGTTGATTTGTGTCACTGACAGGATTTTGTGATTTTATTTTTCCAGAGAAGCCGTTCATCGACCTGAAGGAGCCATGGATGAAGGTTTGGGAGGTGAATGTGGGAGATCAAACCACCCTGATCCCTGTCAAGTACTCAGCCTACCCAGAGCCCAGCTTTAAATGGTAGGGTGCAGTTAACGAGCAGACTGTCTAACGACGTGTGATCTGCTAACATTCACGTCCTCTCAGATTCTGTGTGTGTTGCTTTGTAAAATCCTCCTCTGTCTGCTCAGGTTGAAAAATGGCCTCCCATTTAAGGATGACTACAGAGTGAAACAGAGGAACGACGCCCTCATCATCCGTGAAGTCACAGAAATGGATGCAGGGAATTACACAGTGGTCCTGACCAATAAGATCACCAGAGAGGAGCACCGACGCTCGCTCCAGCTGCTGGTCAACGGCACGTTTTCATTCTTCTTCCTCTTTTCTGTTTCTTCTTCTGAAGCTGTCGGTGAAGAGACGGCAGTGATGACTCTCCATGTCTTCTTCTACAGTTCCTCCTCACATCATTGAGAAGGAGGTGGCGGTGGACACAGATGTGTACCCGTACGGCAGCAGCCCCACCCTGAGGTGCACCGCCCGTGGATTTCCCACTCCTGCACAAATCCAGTGGCAGTGGATGTCCAAAGAGGACTGTCCCAAGGTCTTTATGTAAGTCACCTTTCTTCAGTGTGTGTGTGTGTGTGTGTGTGTGAGAAAAAGTGACTTCCTGGTGTGTCTGCACGCACATGCCTCTCAGTCAGTCATTGTCAAAAGGGTGTTGATCTGCAGAGGAATAGCTGCTTTCGTGATGTTGACAAAAAACAACAGAAGAGACAATGAGAGTGAACTCCGACCTGATGCAGATCGGCGGATGTGATTCATGCTCCTCACAATGTCCATTTTTAGACAGACATCAATTATTCAGACTCAGAACATGTTTACCGATTTCGTACAATCAGACATTTTGCACTTCAGTCCACGTCCTCAGTGGATCAGCTGTTCTGTGCCGTGCACCGCTCAGACAGACGCAGTTACACAACAGTCTCAGGTATGTGGTGATTTGACGAGTGTTGACAGAAAGGAGGAGGTGGGCTCGGCCGTGTTGATCATCAGCAGGTTCCTTATCTTCTGCCTACACATCAGAGCACTTCCTCAGTCCTGCACTACGTTTCCTGTTGTTCCCATCATCTTGCTCTCTGTCAGAAAAGAGCTTCCTCCTGCAGAAGCTCTCTCTCTCTCTTTCCCTTGTTATCATGCACCCAGTTTTTCACTCAGTTTTCCTGTATGTGTTCCAGCAGTTCGTGTGTGTCTCAGCCAACAATAAACTGCAAAATGTAGTAAAAAAGAAGCATGAAAAATAAATATAATTCTGAATGTTCCCTATTATTACTCATTGTAAACATAGCTAGGGTTTAAACATCTAGATTTTGGACTCCTGTTGGAAGAGTGTGGATGCTCCATCTTTGAGAATGTGGACTGTGTCTGGAGAGACTCACTTACATTTCTAAGTGCAGGTGGAAAAATACATGAATATTAAAAAAAAGATAGAAATGCAGGTTTCACCTGAAAGGAAATTACAGAGAAATACTTTAGTTTTATTTGCATGCTGTCAGATGTGTATCTGCAGTGTGGGTATTTTTTTTATTATCTCAAACTGTTGTATTGTTACTGCATGTTGCAATCTGTATGGACATGATAAGAAAATTATATATTGGAGATAAAAAAAAAAACATAGTTAGGGACAGAGAGTATATAAGTTTTACTTCTTGTCTATAAGTCACTAAATGGTCTGAGCCCTGAATATATTTCTGAAATGTCCCATATATATATATAAACCTATAAGGTCTCTAAACTCTGCAGGAGCTGGTCAGTTAGTGCAGCCTGTAGTTAAAACCAAACAGGGTGAGTTTCAGTCACTGTGCTGCTCACTGCTGAAACCAAATCTGCCTGAACCACAACTGGGTTTGAAAAGAAGCTTAAACTGCTCTGTTCTCCTCTGCCATTTAATCATTTCATCTTGCACTTTAATTAGATATCACCTGTTTATAATCTGTGTTTCTCTCTGTTTTCTTATTATGGTTTTTACTTCTATTTTTCATGCTTCTTTCATTTCTGTTAAAGCTCCATGTTTCTTCTTCTTCTGTGTTTTATTTGAAGTGTTGATCCATCAGAAGATATAAAAACCATCTCAGTGTAGTTTTACATCTCCTCTCTCAGGCTTCTCTCTGCAGCTCTAGTAACAACAGGTCTGTGAGCCAATCAGAAGAGAGGAGGCTCTGAGCCTCTCTTCTGATTGGCTGATTGTTTTCTGAGTGATCCAATAAAAATACAGCAGATTTCAGGTAAAAACACTCAGAGAAACCAAATCCTGCAAGGTTTGGATGGTGGGTCCAGGTGGGCGGGGCTTGGTGACTGCTTTGTTGTGACATCACAAAGTTCCAGAAGTCCTGACGGCTGGTTTTAAGGCTCAGTTTCTGAATACAGGCTGTGTGCATTTCTCTGTGGACTGAGGCTTTGATACTTTCACAGTATTAATATAGAAGCTAGAGCTGATCTATAATCACACTACACATGGACACAGACCTTTACACTGGAGGAGCTTTAAGCACGTTGAATGACCTCCGGTATGATAATGTGCTGTACCAATACATTTGTATTAGTTGTAAAGAGAAGCTTGTGTTTTTGTCCAACAGGTCGGGGCTGATTAAGTCTGAGGTGCAGATGAAGGAGTGCACAGGCTGGAGAGACATCAGCAACAGCACCGGCCACAACCCTGTAGAGCGAATCATGACGGACACTGATCACCCCCAGAAGGTAAATAACTCCTGATTACAGCCAGCAGAGGAACCCTGTCACATGAAGGTGGATGCAGCCTGATATGATTAAATTAAATATGTAAATGTGTTTCCATAGAAAACCATAAGCTCACTGAAGATTCAGAAAGCGGAGGCCCACGCCCTCTACAGATGCATGGCTGCCAACAAAATAGGAGAGGATTCACGCGTCATCTTCTTCCATGTGACACGTGAGCGCTTTGCTTTTTCTTTTTTCCATGTGGTCTTTCTCTCTGTGATCATGTCAGCGTCCTTCATGTCTGTTCTCGTTCCTGCCTGTGCGTCCGTCCGTCTCTGTCAGGTGGCCTTGAGGTGAGCGTGTTGCCATCCAATGAGCCCTTAGAGGAAGCCGACGTGGTTCTGAAGTGTAAGGCAGACAGGTTGATCTACGGCAACCTCGCCTGGTTCCGTGTGAACAACGCCTCCAAGTCAGAGCAGGTGGCGTCAGTGCAGCCCTGCCGCTCCCTGTCGCTGCAGCGGAGGCCCCTGTCGCAGGCGGTGCTGTCCAGCCCGCAGGGCACCAACGTGACCCTGGAGCTGCCGCTGCCCAACGCGTCCCGTCACGATGAAGGTCTGTACGCCTGTCAGGTGGAAAACATCAAGACCAAGGAGAGAACCTGCCTCCTGCGCCGACTCTCTCTCAGAGGTACCAAAAACTGTGTAATTGAGGATCTACAAGTCAATTATTCACATTTCATTACTCACACTCACAGGTTTGTGCACCGCAAAAGCAAAAAGTGTCTGTAGAGTGAAATTATTTTACGTGTTTTCACATTTAGGAAGTTGTCAAAGGCAAGTGTCGCCATCTTTAAACAAGGCAGAATGAACTGTATGAATATTAATATTAAGATCATGAAGAAGATGCTATTATAAAAAGAAAATGGTATTAAGTTTGGAGCATTAAAACATGATCATTTCAGTGTCTCTTAACATCAACTGATTCTTTCAGCTGTTTTAAATAAGCACATGTTTAAAAACTGACATTTTTATTTCTTCGGTGTGATAAAAATTTGATTCTGATTTTAGGTCTGGAGACTGCAAGGATCCTCAATAATTTAACCAACCACAAAGTTAACGTAAGTGCGACGATTACTCTGCGCTGCGATGCTGCCGGGACGCCAAACCCAACGGTGAAGTGGACCAAGAACAACCACACTGTGGTGGAGGGCTCAGGTGAGGCGGGCGCGGCTTGTCATAGAAAAGAAAAGACTCACTTCGCGAGTTCACACTGCCGTTAAAGACACCGTGCGTTGCTTTTCAGGTGTGATTCTGAGCCAGCACAAGGACACTTTGACCATTCAGCGTGTGAAGAAGGAGGACAGCGGACTGTACACCTGCACCGCCTGTAACAGCCTCGGCTGCGACAGCTCACAGGCCTTTCTGACGACTGAAGGTCAGTCCCATCCTGAGCCCAGGTCCAAATCATGCTACTGATACCTGAGATTAAACAGTGTACAGTGACGTGGATGGACTGTGAGAAAATGGGCACAGAGATGTAAAAGCACATTTAGAGCACATTTAAACACAGCCTGAGCTGACCATCGGACATTAAAATAAACAAATGTATAAAATAAGTAAAACACTGGGAAAGAAAACTAAATAAACATGTAAACACACTAACAAAAACAAGACAACAACAAGGAGCAAATAGATATTTACGAACATGACAACGGACTAAAAGGTTAGTGAATAAAAATGTATCTTTAGCCCAGATTTAAAAATAGAGATGGAGGGAGCTCATCTGATATCTAATGGCAGCTGGTTCCATTAACAGCCACTTTAAACCGAGGGCCTCCTGACCCTGTGGGCCTCTGGGCCTGTGTGCGATGGGCCCCTAGTCTTAAACCTCCGGGCAAAACCCACAATACTCACAAAGACCTTGTATTTATATCTGGCCTCAAGGTTTTACATCACACAGACGACATTTTTGATATCAAAGACGTAGAGTAAGAATAACTTTGCTTCCGCATGACAGGAAGTTGGCCCAGTTAGCGCACATCCTCCTGGGAGTTTCTAAATCTAAAACAATGAGGAGGCTGCAGGACAAAGGGAGAGGCCAACCCTGCCCCAGCCTCTGCTCCGCTGTCCACCCTTCTCTGTCCCGAACACAGACTCACAGCAACAAACAAACAAACGCTCTGACTAGAACCAGGGGCCTACGTGACCTGGTCCCCGCCAGCAGAATGCAGACCCAGTTACAGTAGCTCCCAGCTCTGCTCAGGCGCCAGCTCCGCTAACGAGGGAGGGTAACGAACAAGTACGTCTCTGTATGTGAGGGAGTTCTGAGTGAACACAGAGCACAGGCAGTGGCTCTGTGACTCCTAATGGACCTGGATATTAATTAAAAAATATGTGTGAATTCGCTCAGACGAGGCTATAACCTGCTATTTATGAAATCGAGTATCTGACTGTCTGTCAAATTAATGAAAACAAAGCCATCTTTGTTTTCTTTGTAATTTTTTTTAAGGGATTTAAAACAACCATCAACCTGAATGAAGATAACACTGAAGTGCTAAAAGCTGCAGTTCCTCTAATGACCACTAGAGTCTGGCTCCAACAGTGAGTCAGTCCCCATAGACTCCCATGTTAAAATGTCCAACTTTACAGCAGAAATAAACATGTTTACAGCCTGGTACAGAAACAGTTTTGGTCTCTAGAGATAATTTCCTCCTTCATGACACCTGTTTATATAACTCACCTGTTATCTATCTTTATGAACCTATAGACTTGAGACTGGTAAACACACTTTAAGCACCAAAACAATCCATCCACATCAGTAAAGGTTCGTTTTCACAAAATTTTGAGGAATTTCAAAATCCAGGCTTCAATTGTTCAGCATTTGGGCCGAATGATCTTTTTGCTCTATGACAGAAAGGGGCGTCACGACAGAGAGAGCTGAGTTTGTTCTGAGAACTGTGACATAAAAGACTCAGAACTTAAGAAATAATGTAGAAATCGATAAAATGCCCTCAGACCTCTAAAGGTTAAGGCTTAAAGTTATAGAGAATTGAGGGCGTGGCCTCTTTGAATGACAGGTGGGTGATTGTATGTTTGCCATTAACCGGCATTGCACTGAAATCTCAGCTCCACACAGGCCCCTCCCCTTAGCAGGGAGTTAGGGGAGGAGTCAGACACTGCCAAGGTGGCGACGCCGAAGCAGCTCACTCTGAGCTTCAAAACCGCTCTTCAGAAACCTGTCGGTGACGTCACAGAGGCTACGTCCGTCTTTATTTACAGTCTATGATTAGAAACAGTTAAACGAGCCCTTCGCAGACTGCACTCCTCAGAGAAAAGAAAACATGCATGCCCCCCCCACCCACCCCCCCCACCCTCTCCTGACCTTCTCCTTCCCTCTAATAATTTTTGGTCCTTCAGATGAATTGTAGCAGAGCGTGACAGTTCATTACAGCATGTAGTTACACATGACTCTGGCTCTGATAGGCCTTTTCCAAGTTGTCTTTGGCAGCAGGAGTCCGTGCTGACTCCTGACTATTTGTTATGACTAGATAAAATATCAGTTTGCCAGATTTCAACAGTCTCTTTCCTCCAACTCAAACACAGACGCACACATGCACTTGTACCTGCCAAAGACAATGACAAACCTGTCTGAACTTTATGCAGCTTTATGCCAAGGTACGTCATAGTAATTAGACTAGATTCCCACTGTGATTATCCCACAAGAATGAGGGAAACATATGTCATATGATCTGTTCTTTGACTCTTCTTATTAAGAGGTTGTTTGTGAATATTTCTCGTATCGTGTCGTTGTGTTTATTCTAGGTGCAGAGGAAAAGACTAATGTGGAGCTGATTGTTCCGATCGGATCAGTGGTCATCGCCATGTTTTTCTGGTTACTGATCGTCTTTGTCATCCGCGGCAGAAAAAGAGTAAGAATTTCCTCATCCGCATCCTCCCTTTGCCACAGTTTTCCTTCCTTGGATTTTCCCTCCCGTTACGCACAGGGGACCTGAAAATGGATTTAAAAAAAAAAAAAACACACACATAAACGAGCACTCACACTGTGGGGGTGTATGACTGATTAGAGGCGACTGGACTGGCTCTCCTTTGTATCCAGGAACAACAGGGCCACTCACATAGGTCACGTAGACCAACGCTGCCTGGGCCCCTTTTTTACTGGAGGGACACCAGAGATACTTGAAAACTGTTGCACAGTTTGAATTCAGAGAAAAAGGGACAAACAGCAGCTCATTAATCACACATTACGTCTCTGCTCATTTCTCATGTTTCTACCCATCACCTTTCCAGACAAGCGGTGGGGATCTGAAGACGGGCTACCTGTCCATGATCCTGGACTCGGAGGACATGCCCATGGACGAGCAGTGTGAAAGGCTCACGTATGATGCCAACAAATGGGAGTTCCCTCGGGACAGGCTGAAGCTAGGTGAGACACAGATCTGATTCAAGCCAGAAAATACTGGAGGCAGTTTTTCAACTTGTGACAACAAGCATCTGCACCGCTGAAGTCCCAACAGGTCCTCCAATCACAGCTCAGAGTTTTCTCCTTGTAGGGGAAAAGCGAACATGGTTTCCCTTAAATGATAATAATAATAATAATAATAATAATAATACATTTTATTTGGCAGCGCCTTTCACAGCGTCCAAGGACACTTTACAGAAGATTAAAAACACGATAAAAATAATAAAAACAACAGACAGTTAAAAAGAAAACAATGAAATCACATTATATTATCAGGAGTAATGGTTCTATTTTCCAGTATTTTCCTTTATGAAAACATATGCAAATAGACAAAACACAAAAAATTCAAAAAACATCTTCATCAGTTTAGAAACAGACAATCTGCAAATACTCACAACAGAAGTGTTTCCAGGGGACACAAAATAGTGACGAACCTGGCCGGGTCGCACTTTTTCAATGCTTTGTGACTTTTAAGTTAAAAGTATTGAGCAAGTGCGTCTGCCGGAAACACTTCTGTTGTGTTGTGAGTGTTTGCAGCAGGTGTGTTGTCAAATTGATGAAGATGTTTTCTGAATTTTTGTGTTTCGTTTATTTGCGTGTGTTTTCTTACGCTGCAGTACACAATACACAAGTAGTCTGTCTTTGTGACAAACGTTTTGCATTAAAGGTGATCCACTGGGACGAGGAGCGTTTGGCCAGGTGGTAGAGGCAGCCGCCTTCGGCATCGAGAAAGCTACGACGTGCACCACCGTTGCGGTCAAGATGCTTAAGGGTGAGTATTTTGTCGTCCGGTGACACACAGTGAAAGCCTCCGAAAAACACACATTACTTACACGGATCTCTCCGCGTCACAGAGGGAGCCACGTCGAGCGAGTACCGCGCCCTGATGTCGGAGCTGAAAATCCTCATTCACATTGGACATCACCTGAATGTGGTCAACCTGCTGGGAGCCTGCACAAAGCCTGGGGGTGGGTCTTCACACAAAGCACATGTCTGGACTGTGCATCGTTGCTGTTCGTGTTTCGCAGTTTTCCTGACTAATCTTCTTTATGATGATCTAATTACACTTGTGTGTATTTGAGGGGGCTTATATTTGTTTTCCTGTCCTTCTAATGTGCCGTACACACTCATTAAATCAGTGTGTGTTGTGTAGTTGTGAGTTGCTGATCTTTCTTTGACCCTTAACCTCTTCTTCTCTCTCTCCGCAGGGCCGCTGATGGTGATTGTAGAGTACTGTAAACACGGAAACCTCTCCAGCTACCTGAAGAGCAAGCGCGGAGAGTACAGCCCATACAAGGTAAATGATGTGTAACCCACACGCAGCCAATAAAACGCAGCCAACCCTCTGATGTGGTTACACTGCGCCCAGACGGCTCGGCGTAACCATATCATTAACCACAGACCATTACACAGCGATGTACAGCAGAGCTAACCCACTGATCATATCTAATGTGGACGGAGCAAAAATGTTGTGATTGTGTTTTTTCTCTCCACATGCTCTTGAATGATATCTGTGTTCGGTCAACAGAGGAAACGGGTGGATAGCCAGAAGTGGGCGCCTGCAGAGGAGGATGTGACTGAAGGGGATCTGGGTCTGGGGAAGATTGCCCAGCTGGACATCTGCACGGGAACAGCCGTCTGCTCCACAGCTGGAGACAAGGCTTCGGGCAGCAGCATAGACGCTCAGGAAGGTGATGAAGGCAACTCTGAATGATGCACTTTTCATTTTTTGCACCCCAGTTCAATGTTTGTGCACAAACGGCTCACATTTGTGGTTTTGTAAAATGCATCATGTGACCACAGAGAGCTCAGATGACGACCATCTGACCATGGTGGACCTGATATGCTACAGCTTCCAGGTGGCCAAAGGCATGGAGTTCCTGTCCTCCCGCAAGGTGAAGCTACAATTATTTGGGAAATCTGGCTTCACAAATTGGAGATAATAATCACCCTTTAAATGCACAATAAAGTAAATTCATCTGTTAATTTATTTCTGTCTTCTCTGCAGTGTATCCACAGGGATCTAGCAGCCAGGAACATCCTGCTTTCAGAGAACAATGTGGTGAAGATCTGCGACTTCGGCCTCGCCAGAGACGTCTACAAAGACCCCGACTATGTCCGCAAAGGAGATGTGAGTCCCCTACGCTGATGTACACGCTGTCAATCACACTGTTGAGGGTTTGTGAAGCAGTGAAATGTGCATCTTCATTTTCTTGCCACAGGCACGTCTCCCTCTGAAGTGGATGGCTCCTGAGACTATATTCGACCGGGTGTACACCACACAAAGTGATGTTTGGTCCTTCGGGGTCCTTCTGTGGGAGATCTTCTCTTTGGGTAAACCTGGTAGTAATCACTGGTACACGAAGATATATAATGACCACTGTACATCCGTTACATCACCTATATCGTATCTCTTACAGGGGCGTCTCCCTATCCGGGGGTCTGCATCGACGAGTCTTTCTGCAGGAGGCTTAAGGAGGGCACCAGGATGAGACCCCCAGAATACGCCACCAACGAGATGTGAGGGGACACTTGATGTAGTCGAACATGTGACAGAAATGTGACTCAAATTATTGTCTGACCATCATCTGATTTATTGTGTGTGTGTGTTCACAGATACCAGACCATGTTGGACTGCTGGCTGGATCGTCCCACAGACAGGCCGACGTTTGCAGAGCTGGTTGAACATCTGGGCAACCTGCTAATGGCCAGTGCTCAACAGGTGAGTGTGGGTGAAAACAAAAGCCTGCTGTGTCCAGACATAACTTCACAGTTTAAATGACATCATCACAGCTATAGTTCAACAGCAGAAAACATTGAAAGCTCCATATTTTCTTCTTCTTCTTCTGTGTTTTATTTGAAGTGTTGATCCATAAGAAGATATAAAAACCATCTCAGTGTAGTTTCACATCTCCTCTCTCAGGCTTCTCTCTGGAGCTCTAGTAACAACAGGTCAGTGAGCCAATCAGAAGAGAGGAGGCTCTGAGCCTCTCTTCTGATTGGCTGACTGTTTTCTGAGTGATCCAATAAAAATATAGCAGATTTCAGGTAAAAACACTCAGAGAAACCAAATCCTGCAAGGTTTGGATGGTGGGTCCAGGTGGGCGGGGCTTGGTGACTGCTTTGTTGTGACATCACAAAGTTCCAGAAGTCCTGACGGCTGGTTTTAAGGCTCAGTTTCTGAATACAGGCTGTGTGCATTTCTCTGTGGACTGAGGCTTTGATACTTTCACAGTATTAATATAGAAGCTAGAGCTGATCTATAATCACACTACACATGGACACAGACCTTTACACTGGAGGAGCTTTAATTTCTCCAATAGTCAAAAATACAACTTTGATTAACGGCACAAAGGTTTTCTCGCTAAAATCTCTCGGGCCCTGTCTGTCATGGTGCTATTGTTAAGGCTGTCGGTGTTGCCTTGCCAGCACAACACACAGCTGATTACACACGAGCTCACACCCCCACAGAGTGCTGCCAAGTCATTCTGGAAAACTTTAGGAAGTCATTACCTGAAGCTGACGTGGAACAAACATGCTGATGCAAACTAGTTACACCAGGAGAAACTCATTACAGCACGAGGAAAAGTAATTACAGGAATATGTTTAGTGTCACTTCATAATTTTAAACACTCAGTTTCTGCTTTAATATAAATACATTTTTCTACTCATTTGTGTGGAATCTGAGGTGATGTTATTAGATTAATCTTGGTCTCCAGGAAGTGGTGATTCTAGACTGTTGGCAGACACTACCATTTACAGATGTCAACTAAATGCCTCATCTGCAGACTATCATAAGATGCTACAACTTACAGATGTTCCCTGAATGCCTCACACGCTGGCAATAGGTAGAAGCCAGTCACAACGGGCCCCCACATGGGGCAGTGTAGTGTCTTTATGGGAGGTTTAAAGGGGGTTTGTAGTTGTCATTGCAAAAATGGGCCCTTTTCCCCTTTGGAGCCCCAAGCAGTTGTCTGTTTGCCTCTCCTGACCGTGTGCCTTCCTCCCCAGGATGGGAAGGACTACATCCCCCTGACAGTAGGCGAGACGGAGGGATCTCCAGTGGCCCCTGAGCCCAGGAGCCCCTACAGCAGACCTCAGAGTGGGGAGATCCTGGAAGCTCAGCTCCACTACGACAACCCGCCGTCCCTCGGGTCAGCACGATGATCCCACCTGTCACTGTCGCTCTCACCTCTAAACGTTACAGCACTCGGGGCTGAATCTTCACTGTCACTTCACTGACTTCTCGTCTCTGTGCAGACTGTCCCAGCAGGCGGAGAGGTGCAGTCGGCCCCTCAGTGTAAAGACGTTTGAGGACGTTCCTGTGGCGCACAGCAGTGTCATGGTGAGAGTCTGTGAATCAGAACATACACTTCATTCAGACTGATTCACTTTGATCTTTGTGGAAGTCAGACAAAGTTTCCTTTTTCTTTTTGACACCTTTTTAGATCCATAAACTAAAACACAACTGACGTTTTGAAAACATGAGTTACTTCTTTTGTTTTTTCATGTTTTGTCACGTAGCTCAGTGGAAAAGCCGACCTCATCGAAATAAGAACGAAACATGATTTGATTGATATTAGATGGTGTAAAATAAATCAATGAAATAATTAGTCAAGTAATTGATTAGCTGATAATAGAAAATGAAGCAGCAAAATCTGAATCAGCAAAAGCTGCGAAGTTGAATCTCTAATGAATCTCCACGTCTTAATCCACCTCAAGAAACCCACAGGAACACTTGGTAGAGTTGAGCTGTTTACTTCAACACACACAAAATAATAACTGGTAGAGAACAGTGTCCATTTACAGAGTTATTTTACTCAACTTACTAAAAAACAATGATCATAGTCACGTAACCTCTGTATAACAAACCTAGTTATATATTTTAAAGCACACACCTGTTTAGTGACAGAAATAAAACAATGAACTTACGGTGTTGCACTGCTGTAAATATGAAATGTAAATACCTCAACCTGTAAATACTGTAAATAATCCTTCACTTTCTTTTAATCATTACTTTATATTGCAGTTATTTTACATATGCACTTAAACTAATTCGTCCAACATCAATAAATATATACATTTTTCGAGTTGAGTTCTGAGGATTTTTAAGCCTCATTGGCTGGAATCTGAATTTCTTTGGATTTTACACTGTTGCTCAAACTGATGGTTCATTTTTCACAATTTTCTGACAGTTTACAGCTAAAATTATTTAATCCAAAAATAGATTTGATTGATAATAAAGAATGTTCATCGTAGTTCCGGTTTATACACAAGAGGTGGTAAGTAAAAGACTGTTTTTCCCTGTCAAAGCACCGACCACTGACGTTCATTTAAACTGTGGGCTCTTCTGCAGGAGGGTCACACAGACAGTGGTATGTGCTTCTCACCGGAGGAGGCGAAGGGTCTGAATCAACAGCTGCAGACCACGCCCAACTTCAGGTGAGGACGGAGCACCTGCATCAGCGTATGACCCGCATCGCCTGATTCTCACTACTGCTCATATTTGGCAGCTGTAGTTTGCTTGATTGTGTAAGTAGGATTTCTTATTGAAAATGTCTCCTTCCTGTTTGCTCTCTTCAGCCAGCTGCTGCGCTGTAAGAGTAAAGAGTCGCTGGCCTCGGAATCGTCCAATCAGACGAGCGGATACCAGTCGGGGTACCACTCTGACGACACCGACACGCCGATCTACGCTAACGAGGAGGCGATCATGAAGCACAACATGCTGAAGAAGCCTCCGCTGCCCAAGACGCCCGAAAAGTTCAACGTGGAGATCCGTTACAGCACGCCGCCCGTCTGACCCCAGATAGCCCCTCCCCCTCTAAACCCAGAGTCTTTTCACTGTACAGTACTTGTTTACCTTCCACAGGTATTACACTTTAGGAACAATGACAACACGTTCACCAGAGCTCCGTCACCGCGGTGCCCAGATGTTTTCGCACGAGATAACTTAATAAGTCGGCAGAGAAAAATGAAGGTTGTATGATAGGTTTGTAAGCGCAGCTCTCCTTGGACAGCCGGAGGAATGCTATCATGTTTACACAGTGGGTAAAAGGTCTGGGCAGCCAAAGGCACGGAGACACGCCTACTTCCTGAGGCGAAATCCACCCACTTCCTCTATTGCAGGAAATGGCATCTGGAATTTTTAGATAATTGAATCAGCAAATGTTTTGTTTTGTTTTTCTGCTCTCTTTTTTCTGTGTTGCTGGCACCGTTAATTGCCGGCGAGGAGGCAGTTCTCTCGGCTCAATCACACCAATGTTTCTAGAGTCACATTTGTACAGTTCCTTTATTCATATAACTTACTGTATTTTATTGAATGTTTATTACTAAACCTGCAATAAATGTAACTAGTTTTATAAAATAAAAATACTCACAGATTAAAATTGTTATCGTGCTTTTGTTCGTTTGACATGATCCCAAACTTGATCATCTGTGAGTGTTTTTGTCTCTTTCTTTGTAGCCTACATCTCTCATTTCCTCTCTCTGTGTCTTACACAAAGAAAACAATACTTTCTCAGCCTTGGTCATTCACTCTGTGTGAGTGTGTGTGTGTGTGTGTGTGTGTCCTATAGGAAGAATCACTTCATAGTGCCCATAATAGCCCTGCCAAGGCCAGTTTGGGGCAGTATGACAACAAAGTAAATGGCACATTCAAAAAGCAGGTGCAAGATCTTACAAGAAAAAAGTAAAAATCGTCCTTGTGGGATTCTGGATCGTCTTTTCCAACAACTTTCATGTTGTGTAATCACGCAAGAGATCCACAGATCTCTCCTACCTTTAGAGTCTAAAGGTAGATGTCCATGTGTTGTTTGATTATAAAGCAGGTCTGTATTCAGAAACTGAGCCATACAACCTGTAGTCAGAAGTTTGTGATGTCCCAAGCCCCGCCCACCTGGACCCGCCAACCAAACCTTTGCAGGATTTGGTTTCTCCGAGTGTTTTAACCTGAAATCTGCTGTATTTTTTTATTGGATCACTCTGAAGTCAGACAGCCAATCAGAAGAGAGGCTCAGACAGTGTTGTTACCAGAGCTCCAGAGAGAAGCCTGAGAGAGGAGATGTAAAACTAAACTGATATGGTTTTTGGTTCTTAAAATCATCAAATATATCTTCTTATGGATCAACACTTCAAATAAAACACAGAAGAAGAAAATGCAGAGCTTTAATATGGAGCACTGTTCTGTAAACAGGAGATAAGAAGAAGGAAAAACCCTTAAAGGGACCTTCAGTGTTAATGGAGTGTTCCTGCAGCCACACTAATACTAAGCTTAAAAGCTTAGAGATGTGTGGTTGGTCTGACTAGGCGATAGAGCATGAGAACACAAAGTATTTTGTCTACAAACAAAGACAACAAACTCAGTTAATTATAGTACACAAGAGGAAATGACTCGAAGCCTCAGAGGAGCTGTTTTCACATGAAACACCAGGGTGGTTAAATTTAGAAAGTCCTGCCCATAACCGCTGCTGGAGGCCGGGGGGGGGGGCAGCTGAATCTCTCTGTAGGTGTATTCAAGACAGGGACTGAGGGTTTTTAAGCCTCTTGTTTCTGATTCATCCTGTTACTGCAGCAGGGAGGCAGATATAACCTCAAACGGCCCGCTGGCCCATGAATGGGCCGTTAGAAGGTTCTGAAAGTGTTCTGACTGAGTAAACCTTGTTAATATAAACAGACTGCACCTGGTTAGATCGGTTAGAGCCTCTAGAAATCAAATATTCAGTTCATTTTGCGCTAACCATAAGCACTTAAATATGATTTATAAATATCTACCAGCATCTGTACCAGCTGAGCGTGGTGACTGCCTACCGTTTAGACGTGTAGAACTCCGGTTCTCCCTCCATTCCTCCGTTATTTATATTCCTTTAGTCCGTAAGGGTCCACGGGTCACAGAAATCAAAAGGGTTCCTTATAAAAGTATTCCAGGTTATCAATATCGTCCTGAGAAGTCCAAAGCAGACGACCGAGCGATTTGTATCCGCTGTTCTTCCCTCACTTCTCCTCTCTCTCCTTCCGTCCGGCTCCATCTTGGCTGTGTTCGCGGGTCTGCTATTGTTTGTTAGCTTTCTGGCTAAAAAATGGCGGCTTCCCTCCCCGTAAAGATCCAAACAGATTTCACTTCAGGAGGGTCAGCTGAAGACGACAAGCTGTAACAGAGTGTAAGACGTAACGACGTGTTCTCTCCGTTGGAAAAAGCCGTTTTTCTTCACACTTTTCTTTAATTACTCCGGCTTGTAGAGAGACGTCTCCCCTGACCAATCAGAGCGAACTAGGGGGGCGGGCACTTCAGAGGCAGGGCCAATAGGCTGTGGTCTATCTAACTAACAGATCAGCTCTGTTTTAATGCTTCCAAAAGGTTTCTTAGGGATCAAAATGCTTCATGTTTTCTATTATTTCATATTAAAGAGTTAAAGCACATTTCTCCCAGTTTTCCTTTTAGAGAGGTTCATGGGCGCCAGTGAAAGAGTGAACTATAAAGGCCTATTAAACTAAACTATTAGAAGTATTGTGGAGCTTTTTCATTGTTCTTGTATAAAGTATATCCTGTTAGTAGTTATTTAATACGATTGTTTTACAGGTGAGGACTGAAAAATACAAAAAAATACCACGTATGAGCTGATGTAGTTTGGGTTGGGTTCTAGGGTATGGGTTCTACAATATGTTTCCTTTCAAATGAGTTCTCATAAATGCATTTTGGCCTTACAGCTCTTTTGTTATAAGCTTAATATATTTACATATGCAAATCAATGCAAATTAGGTTTTAAAACAGTTGGGCTCTAAGAGACAAGGAACTGTGCTTGAGAAAAAACCTTTTTGTTTTCACAGAAATAAGATCAATGCAACAGAAATCACTGGGTGAATATTGCTCAAAATTAAGATCAGCCTCACTAATCAAAAGATGTCAGTGTTGTTCACGTTTCCACTTTTCTTCATGGACTTTGTGATAACTGAGCAACAGCACCCTCTGCTGGGTCAAAGGTGTAATTTTACCTCAATTCAGTAGGTCAGTCAATCGATCAGTGGATGATATCTGCAAAAAACAAAGGTGATGCAGTTCAGTAAATATGAAAGCCTTACTTGTATGGTACATATCACAGTGTGTTGCTGGTGTGTTTAGACGCAGACTCTGGAGCAAAGGAGCGACAGTGCAGGAACGCTGCAGGAACTCAGTCTAATTTCCTGAGGAATGGACAAACAGGCCGAAGGCAGCTCTCTGCACCAGCAGGAAATAAGTTGGCATTCACACACAGACATCACCAGTCTCAATGTAACAGCACACACCGAGCCAACCGGGCTGCCGCTCACCAAGTGGAGCCAGACAAGACAGATAAGTACACAGACAGACTCTGCGTGATGCTGAACAGCTGCTGCACCGTGGGGTTGAAGGGTCAAGTGTGGTCAACATGAGGTGGCCAAATTAGGGGGAATGTGTTTGTTCTGCTCCTGCACAGATAAAGTCAGGGGTTCTGGATGCCACGGAGGGCTTGAGAATTAACTTAGTTTATTAAAAAAATACAGAAATTATGATTTGTTTACATGGTTTAAATTATTATAGTCATTATTTTCCTCTTCCTGTGTGTTTTATTTGAAGTGTTGATCCATAAGATATAAAAACCATCTCAGTGTAGTTTTACATCCAATAAAAATATAGCAGATTCTAGGTAAAAACACTCAGAGAAACCAAGTCCTGCAAAGGTTTGGATGGTGGGTCCAGGTGGGCGGGGCTTGGTGACTGCTTTGTTGTGACATCACAAAGTTCCAGAAGTCCTGACGGCTGGTTTTAAGGCTCAGTTTCTGAATCAATTGTATGAAAAAATGTTGTGACAGTTTCCACTTTTATATCTTTGATGGTGTTGGATAAGATCCTGTTTAAAATGACTTCATGAGGATATTTGAAACATGTCTGACAGAAGAGGTTGTGTGTACGCTGCAGTGTACACATACAGATGTGATCGCTGAATAAACTTTAAAAACAACTGAAGTTCTCACAGTGTTCAGCTCCACCTCAAATATCAACACATGATGTCATACAGGGATGAGGCAGAAGGATCGTTTGACTTCTGTTTTCTTCAAGCTGTGACTCCGGCCACTAAGTGGTAGTAACGCTCCAACATCAGCTCCCTAGACTCTGGAGCAGCGAGCCGGGTCTCTTCTGTTGCTGCCAAAGATGCTGATGTTAAGGGATATTTGGTATGTGAACGGGAAAGAGACGAGGTCACAGAGTCTCGCAGGATCATGCACACGTGAAATCTACCTTGCTCTTTCCAGTTATCTGTCTAATCACATCAGAGGAGATTACGTGAAATCCAAGACACATTTCTGCACTCACGAGTGTGGAGTTGACAGGTTGGCTTGTGGAGCCGTCAGACTTAATTCAGTTTGTCACTCAGAGATAGCAAACTGTGGTTTACAACATTAGACTGTCAGTTCACAAAAAAATTAGCCAACCTGGCTGAAAAAGAGAGAGAAAACGAACTACTACCGATGCTGAATTTCTAAAAGTGACAAACACACACTGATTTAATAGATACACTTGTTTCACTGACAGGCCTGCAGCAGGTTTATCTCACATTCTCGTCATATGCCCTGAGCTTTTAAAGGCTGCTTATACAAGCCTGTCAATCACTAGCTGGCAGTCAAGATTGACTTCTGAGATACACGACAGCAATTTAGCAGCAGATCGACTCCCGTGGCATTTGGAGGCAGGGAGGAGAGAGAGGTATCCTCAGAGCGAACGTGTCTCTGAATCTTCTCAGACAAAAGCAGCAAAATGGAATAAATAAAAAAAAACCCTCAAGCTATTTCATGTCATTAAAACATAATCGCTCAAAAATCGACTGAACCGCAATAAACAAACGATGATAATTATGTGGTGTGTGCAGGGCAGACTTAATTGGATGATTTATTGCAGCCAACCTGACGGTGCATCTAGAGCGGGAGCTGAGGTCTGGCAGGAGCAGGAGGAGATATGGAGTTCTGTTGCAGCCTCCAGGGCACAGACTGTGAGCAGTGTCCCTGTCCTCCTGTCAGCCTGCCCTGCCAGTCGCCTGCAGGATACACTGCTGGGTTCGCATGGAAGATCTTCCTCCAACACACAACTGGGATTGTGTGTATGCAGCGTGTTCAGACATGCACTGAAGCTTGTCAGTGCGATATCGTGCATTAGCTTGATGTGGATAATTATCATTTGATTATACTGGAGAGAAAAACTGAAGCTGCGTTTAATATCCACTGCTGTATATAATGGCCTCACATTTATATGGTTGGTGTGTTTTTCTACATTCAGTGTTGTAATTTAATTGAATCTACATGCCAGTATTGCACTGGATTATACTTCAAATCTGCACAAATCAAAGGTCATGTACAATATTTTTGCGTATAT